GGTGACACCAACGATGACGGATCGACGGACAATTGGATTGTGTTCAGACGAGACCGATGAAGAGGATGGCTACTGCGGTCGTCCAAGGCTGTCGCTGCGGTCGTCCACGACGTGCCTGATGTTGTGCAGGTACAGGACAGGGCAGCGCAGGGCAGACAAGGCATGGGTGAGGGAGTGAGCACGGTGGCACATCTCAACCTGTACCCCGGCGATGGCGATGGGGGTGTCGTGATAGTGCTGTTGTCTGGTGTCTGGTGTTTGAGGAGGTCATCGTTGGCTGCTCACACTCTGGGAGCCTGCCTGCTTGCTTGCCTGTGCGTTCGACATGGCGAATAGACTGTCCTTGTCACTGTCGGAGCCTGCTGGTACTGTCGGAGCGCTGCTGCTGGCGATTGTAAATAGCACATGGCAGGTCGAGCTTTGGCCTGTTTGCTATTCGCGCACGTCGTGGAGATGGAGGTCAGTGTGTAGGTATCTGATGGTGACCTGAAGCCCGCGATCAGCACGTCAAGCGGCCGGCGAGGACGGGAGGGCATGCGCGCTTGACGTGCGTGACAGGAGGCAGGGAGCTCCGCACCCAGGAACCCCGGGGTTCTAGGGTTCTAGGGGCCCCAAGCCCAGGGCACCTGGGGCACCTGGGGCACCACCGCTGGCACCACCGCTGGCACCACCGCTGGCACCCGCCCAGGGACCCCGACAGTCTGGGTGGTCGCGCTGTAGGTGTCTCACCACGAGAAGCTCAGAGACAAGAGACTTCTGGCACCTTTCCGAGGCGGGGTTAGCCTGCGGGACACTGAGACCAAGCTACAGTGCTGGCGTGTCGACGGTGACGACGGGCACGGTATGCCTGTCTCACGAAGAGGCGTCAAGTCACAGTGCGCACGAGACGGATAATGGCAGCTGTTCGCAGTTGGCAATCCCCACCCCGGCCACGCCCGTTTCATTCGCGCAGCACCTTGCACCTTGCACCTGGGCCGCACCCTTCACCCATTCCACCCCCGCTGTCCCGCTGCCCACTGCCCACTGTCCGCCGCACCCGCCCTTCTTCTTCCCTTCCATCTTTCTCTCTGCCTGATGCTTCCAACAACCTTCACGTCTATTATTAGCATCACCTTCAGCCCCATCGACTGCTGCAAGACAGAACACCAAGTCCACCGAGAGCTTGTCCCATGTCCGCTGTCGAGATCGACGTATGTTTGATGCCCTTGCCGCCTTCCTGTCCGCTTTGCTTAAGATACCCTGCCTGGCCGGACCTTCTGCTGACGATTGCTTCCCGTTGTCGCGACAGCCCTCGATCACGGATCCTCGCCCGTCGACCTGACCTCGGCCAGCCAGTTGCGCTTTCGCGACCGATCCTTCGTTTTTCACCCTGCCCAGACACCAGCTCGACCTCGTTTGCCCGTCACTAGCGCGTCGAAGCTTTCAACGACCTCGCCGCCGCCGCTGTCGATCCTGGCGCAAAACTTGGCAGCCCCAGTCGTCCCCGCGAGCCTCGAAGAAATCTTGCGACGATTTCAATTGATCCTGTGCCAGCCGCGCCGCGCACCACCTGCTAGCCACCAGCCAGCAGCTCCTTCGCCCCTCTTCCATCCTTCACACCCCACCACATCGTCGCGTTATCGACACGACGCACCGGCGACATGGGTCGAAGGAAGATTGAGATCAAGGCCATCAAGGATGACCGCAACCGCTCTGTGTATGTCCCCTCCCCGGAAAAAGAAATCGCCATGCGACGACCCTCGATAGCTGACTGTGCGCGCGCGCGAGATAGCACCTTTCTGAAGCGAAAGGGTGGCCTGTTCAAGAAGGCGCACGAGCTTTCCGTTCTTTGCTCCGTTGACGTTGCTGTCTTCATCTTCGGCAACAACAAGAAGCTGTACGAGTACTCGTCGACTGACATGCGCGAGATGATCACCCGTTACACATATGTGAGTTTTCTCCCGACGATCAATGTCCGAGACCACTTCACTGACAGCTCCGCAGCATGGTGGACCAACCGAGCACAAGGGTCCTTCAGACTTCAACGGCGGCAACGACGAGGAGGAAGAGGAAGACGACAACGGCACCCCGCCGATCCGCGAGTCCATGGAGCCCCAGATGCTACCGCCGCACTTCCAAGGCCAGCCGGGCTTCCCCCACATGAGGCATCACGAGCCATCAGCCTCACCGCCCATCAACGGCATGCACTTTCAGCAACACCCTGGTCAGCCCGGACCTCGCAGCCACACACCCCAACCCCAGATGGGATCTCGCCCTGCCTCCAGACAAGACATTCGCCGGATAGGACAGCAGCAGCAACCACCTCCTCTCCCTCAGCAACAGCCTGTCAACGGCTATGCCTTTATGCCCAATCCCGCCATCTACACTCCGCAGAACCAACAGAACATGCAGCAGCACGGCATGCCTCAGCAAGGTCCTCAGTACCCGGCCTATCCCCCAAACCACCAGCCGCAGCCACATCAGCAGCATCAACAGCATCAGCAGCATCAGCAGCAACAGCAACAGCAGCAACAGCAACAGCAACAACACATACAATACCTAGAGGACCAGCGGCGAGCCTCGATGCCGCCAGCGTACCCGCAGAACCCGCAGGGCCCTCAAGTCTCACGGATCTCGCCTTCACCTCCGCAGCCACACGCGCAGCAGCTGCCACAGCAGCACCAGCAGTCTATTCACGTGTCACCACCCCCGCCGCAACCACAGCAACTTGAACCGCAGCATCATCAAGAAGGCGCCATGCTCGCACCGACGGAGCCTGTAAAGCAAGAATCCAGGGACAAGCCGCGCGCTCCGCTGCTGAACACAGACTACGCCATCAAAAAGATGCCGCAGCGCAAGCAACACAGCATCTTCACTCCGATTGACGAAAACCGGTCTATCCTGTCACAGCATCTTGCTTCTTTCGCTGCAGCGGATTCGTCGGCCTCCAAGTCGGACGCCGGCGTCAAGATCGAAAGTGTCAACCGGTCTCAGTCGGTAGACGTTGGCGCGGTTTCGAGGACAAACGGCCACACCAGCTCGCCTCCGCTCCCTCATCAATCCGACGCCCAAGGACCGGGCAAGGGACGCAATGTGTCCATTGCGGCTATTCCCGAAACCACTTTTACGCCTCCATCGCGATCCAACAGCATGAAGCTTGGCAGCCTTGGCGGCGGTGGAGGGGCGCGGCCTCGCCTTCGAGTCGAAATCCCCGACGAACCGTCTGACGAGCAACAGACTGCCACTGGTGCTTCCGAGACGCAGTCGCCACGGACGCAAGCTGATCCTGCCGCAACACAAGCGGCCCGGCGGCCGGAAGGCCAGGCCTCCAACAACATGGTCCTTCCACCGCCCTCCCCTTCTGCATCGGCCTTGCTCTCCGCGGGTGCAACAGGCCCGCCGAATCCGTTCGCGCGACCGGCGCCGCAGCAAAACAACAACATGAACATTGACACACCGGTCTCCGCCCTCCCGTCCCGGTTCCTCAACAACGAGTTCTTGCCCAGCCCAAGCAGCTTCGACACGTACTGGTATCAGCGCGGCGGCAACGACAGCAACACGTTGCCGAGTCCGCTAAACTTTGCGACTCCCGTGGTGGGACAGGGCCCCAGTTTCCTGCGAGAGGACAACCCGCCGATCGCAAAGCGCAAAACGCCTGAAATCGGCAGCGGCGAAAGCGCAGACACGGGCGGGGACGCAAAACGCCCCAAGGTCGAGTCCTAAGTGGACATGTGATCATTCTTCATCTTTTTTTTTCGAGCCATCTAACGCCGCGTTTGGGAAACATCATATCCTCATTTGCTGCTCCTGGCGTATTTTCTGGTTCCATGATACCAAATCTCATTCTTTCTTCTTTTCATCAACAGAGACGGCGTTTAGCGTGGTCATTCCGATTGATGAAAAGCTTCGGCGGCACAACTTGATGTGGGTTGCTGCATGTCAACCCTTTTTGAATTCCGTACTGCATGGCAAAGCGATGCATCGTGGGACGCGTTTGCGGAGGGTTTCACTTCTTCTAATCAGAACATTTTGTCCCCTTTCCCCCTTCTCTCCTCTTCTCTCTTTCTCCCAATATATTCGGGTGGTCTCGGTCGACTCGGTGCCAAAAGGACGGATGATGTGGGCACAAGGATGTATGAACAACACGGCATGATGATCTGCCGCAGTTTTGTGAGGAACACTTGGGCAACCCTGGACGATGCGGCAGGCGGAACGGGACGGCTTTAGGCGTTTTTGTTTGGCTTGACGCTTGGTGACGCTGTAGACAATCAAATCCCTGTACAAGGCAGCCTGAGTATTGACAATGCACAAGGATTATGGATTGCCAAGTTGGGCTGCCGCCTCGCCGTAGTGGTTGACTCGATGGCTGATGAAAGACGAGATGGACGGGTTGCAGAGAGGGCCAAGCGCCAAGTAGACGTTGCCTGGCCACGGAGTCGTGGCCGAGCGCGACCGAATCGGATGAGGACGGTCTTCTAACAGCCTTCGCGGCGCCTCGGATCGCTGGGCCCCCAGCAAATGAAACACGTCCTGCCGCAACCCTGTCACGGCATTCCTCACCCCGCCACGCAAGCCTTTTGGAAGCCACTGACGAGCTGTAGCAGCGACCCCCCAAACACGCGCGCTTGACCATCCAACGACCAAGGCTGGCCTTTCTTGCCCCCCCAAACTCTCACACCTTGGACTTTGCCTTCCCTTTCCCATCGAGAACCCTTTGCCCGTGGGCTGCCTCTCGCCTTCCACCTCTCGCCTTCCACCTCCGAAACATCGATGCTTTAAACAACCCTTTACACCCACTGCTATACGCCCATCCTCTATCGGTCCCATACCTTCCAGACCTCAGATTCCTCCGCACGCCCCGATTCAGCCACAAACCGGGCTGCCAGTGCGCCCCCTATACGCAGCTCGACGACGCTGGTCGACAGCGCCACGCTCTTCTCAGCAGCCGCGTTCGCCAACGGAGAACAGCTCGTGTGATTCGCACCCGGTCCACCGACACATCGTCACGAGCCCTGGCGAAGATGCATCTCTTCGCAGCAGCAGCAGCAGCAGCCCTGCAGGCCCGGCAGACCGTCAACGAAGACCTACCGCCCAGCTTTGACAGAGACGACGACGACGACTACTACCACTGGTGGTACAGCCGAGTACGTCGAGTAACTCCATGCCTGCCTTTCATACCTCCTTGCATGCCTCCTTTCATGCCTCCTTGCATGCCTCCTTGCATGCCTCCTTGCATGCCTTCGCCAGTTCCCGCTAACCACGTCTACAGGAGGGCCGCATCGTAAAATGGTCCCTCTTCCTCGCCTTCTTCCTCCTCCTCATGGGCTACCTCATCGGCGGCTACCTCCACGCCAAGCGTCGCCTCAAGAAGGGCCTCCTGCCCCTCGCCTACCACCGCTGGATGGTCCGCCGCGCCGTCCTCGCCCAGGTCGACCCCCGCTACGGACGCCCCCACCAGCAGCCGGCCTACTACGCCACCTACCGCCCCGGCTACGGCGAAGCCTACGCGCAGGGCCAGGGCCACGGCGGCTACGGCATGCAGAACATGCCGCCCCCGCCGCCCATGTATGACCCCTCCTCGGCGAGGCCGCCCATGTATGTCCCGCCCGAGGGCGGGAGCAAGGTCGACCCGTCGCAGACATATGGGCGTGAGAGCTATGCGCCGCCGGCTGGGCCGCCTCCACCTCAGCAGCAGACGGGCGTCGCGACGAATACCACGGGGAACACGAATCCGTTTCTCGATAGGCCGCAGGCGTGAAGAGATGGGCGGGGTTGAGATCAGGTTGACGGGATGACATGATGAAGATGAAGGGTGGGGATTTCGGGTCAAGCTGCACTCAAGTCATTCCCTGTCGCAAGCGTTGCTTATTGTTTTGTCTTTCTGTTTCCCTTTCCCTGGAAGGACTGTGTGTGATATAACGATGTGCTGAAAGGTGGTGTATTTTCGCTGCCGTACTGCTGCTACATAGCTAGAAAGTCTTGGGACGGAAAAAAAGGAAAGAAACCCTAAACCAAGAAACGCCTCCCATGTGCCGTCATTGGCGCCCCGTGTGCCGTCATTGGTGCCCCCATGCGCCGTCGTCGTGTTTCTTTTCATGCTCTCGTGGTGGTGAAAAAGTTGTTTTTGTACATGGTATATCGTTGCTGCTTCCCGCCATGGGCATTGCGCCACGCTCAGTCCAGCTCCATGGCGTCCGCATCATCGTCCTGTCCCGTCGCCATGGGCTCGACCCCCGTGCCTTGCGCCGCCATCAGGCCCTGCACGACGCGAGGGTCGAGCCGCGGCGGCATCTCGACGACGTCGCCGCAGCCGTCCCGCTCGAGGCGCTGGCGGGCGCGGGTGCGGGCGCGCGACTCGATGATGGCCTTGCGCACGCTGTCCTTCTCGCTCGGCACGGTCAGCGACGCCGGGTCCTGGTAGAGGACGACCTGCATGCCGGCGAGGGAGCCGTCGGGGGCGGGCGGGATGGGGCGCGGCACGGAGACGAGCGGGGCGGCGCCGGGATCGACGAGGCGGGCGGCGCGCAGGTGGCGCTCAATGTCGGGCAGGAAGACGAGCCTGCCGTCGTCGGGGTCCGAGTCGGAGGACGACAGCTCGTCGTCGAGGGAGTAGATGTAGACCTTGTGCTTCGTGTCGTCGAGGTGCATGTCGTCGTCGTCATGGGCAGGCGAGGCCGCAGCCGCCGCCGCCCGCGCTGCTGGGGTCAGGGCGGAGGCGGGGAGGGCTGGGGCATTGGGTGTTTCAACGGGGACGTAGAGCTTCTGGCCATTTTGTTCTTTGGGAGGGGAGGGGCAAACACGTCAGCAGATGCCTGTGGTGCATTCGGAGAAAGGGATGCCATACCTAGATTGAGAAGACTTAATCGCTTCGAGAGGCGCTCGTTGTCTTGCGTCTCGGCTTTCCTCTTGCGCCGTGGTCGCGTGGCCAGGTCGGGCTGGTGGTGGGTAACGGGTGCTGGCGGGGGAGATTGCGCTCCGTGCAGCAGCATTTTGGTGCCTCAGGGGACAGACGGAGAGGGATAGAGAGAGTCGTGGTGGTAGGGGGCTTGCCCACTTCCCTTCGACACCAGCACAATCAAAGACGCGGCGAACGAAACCTGTCCAGGAGGGGGGGCGACGAGCAAAAGACACCAATCCGAGAAGACGACCGAGAGGGGATACGGACAACGAAGCGGTTCTTTTGATGCAATCGACCGAGGCGTGCGCGCGCGTTGATTGATTGATTGAAGCGATACGGTGGGCACGATTCGAATCGAGACAGCGGTTCTTGTCGGTCGGTCGGTTGGTCGCACGAGGGTACAGGCGGCCTGTGACGATAAGGACTTCGCTGAAAGAGGCACTCAGAAAGAGGCACTCAGAAAGAGTGCCCGCTGAAAGAGGCGCTGTAGGTGGTACCTGTCGAGGATTGGCAGATGAAGGCGGTGTGGGGTTGGGGTTGGGGTTGGGGATGGCGCGGGCGCGGCAATCGCTACTGCACAAGCACCTGCGTCGGTGTCGGCAGCAGCAGCTCAGCTTTTGTACCAGCTTTGACTCATCGCGCTCCTTGTAGAAGTTTCTACGCTACCGGCCCCAGCCCACGCCTGTGCCTGTGCCCCGGCGCGACCCCTCCAAAGCCCCCTCCCTCTCGTTCACCCCACCACCACCACGACAATCGTCGTCCTGTCAACTTCACCACGACAAGTCCCGCCACCCAGTCCGATACCCGAATCCCCGGCGACTGTCACAGAACGAACCGCAGCATCGCGACCAGGCAATTGTCCTCCCACATCCGCCAGTTGCACTCCTCCTCCTCCTCCTCCCGCACCCGCGCCGCCAGCAACTACCCCACCATCGCCATGGCCGAGGAGCAGAAGTGGCCCGCGGCCAAGGTCCGCGAGACCTTCATCAAGTTCTTCGAGGAGAGGGGCCACACCGTCGTCCCCTCCTCGTCGGTTGTCCCCCACAACGACCCGACCCTGCTGTTCACCAATGCCGGCATGAACCAGTTCAAGTCCATCTTCCTCGGCACCATCGCCCAGTCCGATCCCATGTACGGCCTGAAGCGCGCCACCGATACGCAGAAGGGCATGTCGTCTTGCCCAACCGCCGCGAACAGGGCAAGCGAGCTGACTGTATGGTGTAGTTATTCGTGCCGGTGGCAAGGCCAGTGATCTGGAGGGTAGGTCATCCATTTTCTTGCGACGGGTCGGTATGAAGCTAACTTGGATAGATGTCGGCCACGACAGCTACCACCAGTGAGACACCGCGCAGCTCGCACCACAACCCCCTTCCTGAGTTCCGACTGACTTTTGCGCCAGCTCTTTCTTCGAGATGTTGGGAAACTGGTCATTTGGTGTATGTTACGCCTTGTCGAACCCTGCAAACCCTGCGCTAACAGCCGCAGGACTACTTCAAGAAGGACGCCATCAAGTACAGCTGGGAGTTCATGACCGAGACCCTGGGCCTCGAGAAGGACCGCTTATACGTGACATACTTTGAGGGCGACCCCGCACAAGGACTCGAGCCCGATCTGGAGTCGAAGGAGCTGTGGAAGTCCGTCGGTGTGCCAGAGTCTCACATCCTGCCCGGCTCAAAAGCAGACAACTGGTGGTCTATGGGTGATACCGGCCCATGCGGTCCCTGCTCTGAGCTGCACTACGACAAGATTGGCGGCCGTGATGCCGCCCACCTTGTCAACAAGGACGACCCCATGGTTGTTGAGGTGCGTATTCCTGTCCACGACAGGACCCACCGCTGCTGAAGGGCTTCACTAATCCAACTGCCAGCTCTGGAACAACGTCTGGATGGCCTACGACCGCAGAGCCGATCAGTCCCTGACCCCTCTCCCTGCCCAACATGTCGATACCGGCATGGGTTTCGAGCGTCTCGTTGCCGCTCTGCAGGATGTCTCTTCCAACTATGCCACCGATATCTGGAGCCCTTACTTCAAGAAGATTCAGGAGGTTACCGGCACAAGGCCCTACACCGACAAGTACGGCGCCGAGGACCCGGAGACCATCGACACCGCCTACAGGTATGGCTCTCAGATCGCAGCGCGATGGTTTGCCTCAGTATACTAATGAGTTTACAGAGCCTGCGCGGATCACATCCGAATGCTCGGTTTCGCCATCGCTGATGGTGCCGTTCCTAACAATGAGGGCCGAGGTTACGTCGTCCGCCGCGTGCTCAGGAGAGGTGCGCGTTATGCCCGCAAGTACCTGAACGCCGAGATCGGAACCTTCTTCTCTCGCGTCCTGCCCACCCTGATCGATGAGATGGGCCAGCAGTTCCCCGAGCTCGTAAAGAAGCAGGACGACATCAAGGAGGTGAGTCACATGATAGAGACGATTGCGGTAATGGCAACTAACGCAATCAGATCCTTGACGAGGAAGAGGAGGCTTTTGCCAAGACTCTCGACCGTGGTGAGGCGCAGTTCCAGAAGTTTGCCGGCGCTGCGGAAAAGAAGGGCCTCAAGAAGCTGTCTGGCGCTGAGGTTTGGAAGCTCTACGATACGGTATGTCAGTCCCGCAGTAGCCAAAGCCACATTTCACTGACCGTTGTAGTATGGTTTCCCCGTGGACCTCACCCAACTCATGGCTGAGGAGCGCGGCCTCCAGATCGATGACGAAGAGGTCAAGGCTGCTCAGGAGAAGGCCCGCGAGGCCAGCAAGAGCGTCAAGTCTGCGATCGAGACGTTCCCCAAGCTGGATGTCCACGGCATCGCTGAGCTGGAGCAGCAGCACAAGGTTGCGAGGACCAACGACGCCGACAAGTATGTCAAGGGCGACTCCAAGGGTAAGGTTCAGCTGATTTTCGACGGCAAGGGTTTCGTCAAGTCTACCAAAGATATCGCCGAGAACACCCCCATCAGCGTGATTCTTGACAAGACCAACTTTTACGCCGAAGCCGGTGGCCAGGTCGCCGACACGGGCCGTCTCGTCATTGACGAGTCTGTTGAGTTTAAGGTTCTTGACGTCCAGGGCTACGGAGGCTACATCCTTCACCACGGCTACATCGAGTCTGGCACTCTTTCGTCCGGAGACGAGGTTATCTGCGAGTACGACGAGCTGCGCCGATCCCCCATCAGGAACAACCACACGGGCACTCACATTCTGAACCACGCCCTGCGCGAGGTGCTGGGCGAAGACGTCAACCAGAAGGGCTCCCTCGTCGACGACGGCAAGCTTCGCTTCGATTTCTCACACAAGAAGGGTGTTGAGATCCCTGAACTCAAGAAGATCGAGGAGCTCTCCAACGAGTACATCCGTAAGAACCAGAAGGTCTACGCCGAGGATGTCGAGCTGGAGAAGGCGCGCGAAATCGAGACCCTTCGCGCCGTCTTTGGCGAGACCTACCCCAACCCGGTCCGCGTCGTGTCTGTCGGCGTGCCCGTCAAGGACCTTCTCGAGAACCCCAAGAAGCCCGAGTGGCGCAACATCAGCGTCGAGTTCTGCGGTGGTACCCACGTCGAGCAGACGGGCCACATCAAGGACCTCGTCATTGTTGAAGAGAGCGGTATCGCCAAGGGCATCCGCCGTATCATCGCCTTCACCGGCGATGCCGCGCACCAGGTCCAGCGTGAGGCTACCGAGCTGTCCAGGCAGCTCGACATTGTCGAGGCCCTCCCCTACAGCCCCGAGAAGGAGAAGGAGGTCAAGGAGGTGCAGCAGGCGCTCAGCAAGGCGACCATCTCGACGCTGACCAAGGACGAGCTCAAGAAGAAGCTGGACAAGATGGTCAAGGCCATCACGGACGAGCAGAAGAAGCGCCAAAAGGCCGAGGCCAAGACGGCGCTGGACACTGTCCAGAAGTACTTTACCGCGAACCCTGACGCCAAGGCCTACGTCGGCCAGCTGCCCATCTCGGCCAACACGAAGGCGCTCACCGAGACGATCAAGCACTACTCGACCAAGGACAAGGAGCGTTCCGTGTACCTGTTTGGCGGCGGCAAGGAGGAGAACGCCGTGGTGCACGGTGTCTACGTCGGCACGGTATTTTTTTCTTTTTTTCTTTTTTTCTTGCAGACCCCAAGATTAGGCATTTGAGCATGAAAACTGACACAAATTCTTGCAGCATCTCGCGTCCAAGGGCGTCACCGCCGAGGCGTGGGCTTCGACCGTCAGCGACGTCGTCGGTGGCAAGTCGGGCGGCAAGGAGCCCACGCGCCAGGGCCAGGGCACGAAGCCCGAGGCCACGGACGACGGTGTCAAGGCTGCGACGAAGTGGCTGGAGGAGAAGCTGAAGCTGTAGGTCGACGGTCGACACAGGTGTCATACCCCCTGTGTGGCGGCGGATGAAATGAGTAGGAAGTAAGGGGCATGTATCATTCCGAACTCAAAAATGCAAGATGAATGTTTGTGTGTGTTTTCTTTTCTCTTGGACAATGCATGATGCATGAATGGCTGGTGATACATATTCTACGCGGTGATGGATGCTGTCGGAGGTTCATCTCTTATTTTACATCGTCTTCAACGCCCCTGGTCGTACGGCGCGGGTATCTACCTGACTCGAAGCACTCCTCTGACTCTTGTTCTATGATTCTTCCAAAAAAAAAAAAAAAAAAAGGCCAGGACTGCTGCTGCTGCTGCTGCTGCCCCTAGACGGTCACCATGACGCTGGCGTTCTGGTAGTAGCTCAGCAGGGGGTTCTCGCCGCTGCGCGTCTCCGTGTCCTCGAGGTAGGCCCAGCGGCGCATAAAGTCGCCGTGAGACGAGACGCGCGTGAGCTTGCCCGTGATGACCTGGTACATGGCCTCGACGATGTTAAAGTCGGTGGGAAACATGATGTCGAAGTAGCCCTGGTGGACCTGGGGCCGTTAGCTCGAAGAAGAGGAAGAAGAAGAAAGAAAGAAGAAGACGAAGTAAGAAGGGGAGAGGGG